TCAAACACGTCTTCAGTCTCTGCACTATCAAGCTGCTTTCCTTTCCCTTTGTTCTTGGTACCTGAAGATGATTGCTGACCAATCTCCTAGTAATATTGATATTGAAGTAAGTTGTATTTATTATGAGCATTGCAAGAGTTGTTTAATTTATTTCAATGCGGGAAAATTATATTGAAAAAGAGCTTATTGAATGAATAACCAAAACCTACCCAGCTGTTTACCAACGAGTCCATCCTAAATCAATAGCATCTCAATACTAGTAATTCGATGCTTGTTTATGCTTGTGTGATATTGGAGTTGAAATGAACCAATCACTAGTTGGGGGAGTAGTTTTACAAATAGGAATAAAACCCCCTTGTAAAATTTACATATGGAGATTTTTTTCAGCCGATCATTTGACAATCAAATCGATAAGAAAGCAGACGTGGCAATACATGCTCATGCTCTTTCAATTAACGCGCGCACTTTTTTTGCAGCTGTTATAAAAAAGTATCCATATAAATAAGTTTTAACAATAAAAACTTACATTGTCTCGGATAATCAAAAATCGGCTGCTTACCATTTATTTTACAAAAACCAATAGCCATTTGTATTTCATTATCGGATAAATGATCGACAATGAAAGCTTGATTTAGAAATCAGATAACGCTGATCACTTTGCGCTTAATTCTTGGCCAGATTTAGCACTTGGGCTCTGATTTCTAAATTACAGATCATTTATCTGATAATGAAATACGAATGCCTATTGTGTTTTTGTAAAATAAATGGTACACAGTGGGCCGTACAAACGTAAGCAGCCGATTCAGACAAATGTAAGTTTTTATTGTTAAAACTTATTTATATGTATTTTTTTATGACTTTTTTATAACAGCTGTAAAAAGTGCGTGCGCCAAAGAGCATGTGTGAAAAAGAAAAGCCTTATCGAGTTGATTGTCAAATGATCGGCAATGATCGGCTGAAAAAAGCTCCATATGTAAATTTTGTAATGGACTTGCTCTGTGTTTGTAAGGATGCTGATTGTGATATAAGACCAGTCGTACTCATATTGTCGAATCACCAGTATACTGAGAACAATAAGCCTGTACTAATAGGTGCGTTTACTCACTCGCATTTACGCTCTTGCTTAGATTTCACACACCCTCAACAGGCACTCTAATTAGTTTATGAATTTGGTAAGTGGGCAAATTGATAGGGAGGTAGCGGAAGTGCTCATTCGCTTTTGCCAATATGTAAAAGTTTTTTTTGTCGTTTGGTAAATTTACAAGGTACGAATAATATAAATAGCACAGTTACTGATTATGGTATCTCCTACGTTGAACCTACAGTGACTGCTAATTTTATAATATAAGCCCCCTCGATATGTCGGACTCGTGGGGCGGAGATTTTGTCCGGCTTGTCAAATCTCGTAATTTTTTAAATAAAAAAACCCCTCCTTTTATTTAAATATAAGCAACAATAATAATGCGTCCAATTTGATGTTTTAGGTCATTTATTCTCGAGATTACTTCCACCTTTATATCAAATATATTTTGATGACATCCAAAACAACCGTATTGTTTGTGATTTTTTTCATTCTTCTTCTTCCGGTGTACTATTGTACTGCAGCAAAAATGGCGAAAACGATGGAGCGAAATTATTGGATAATTGATTGTATCGTATTTACTAAAACGGTAAAGGTTATCTCTCAAAATCACGTGATCTGACTTATCAAAGTCATCTGTATAATAATAAGGGTTGTTCCGACTTACAGCTTATCACGATTTTATATATGTGTCCGACTTATCGAATTTTTAAAAAAGGGGCGGAAATTTTTGTCCGAGTTAAGCCAAATCCGGCTTATCGAGTGTCTAATAGTAATAGCAACCGAATTTGTTTGTTATTGTTTTATTGTTCTCGTGACATCGGACAAGTGCTATTGTTCGGCTTGACTGATTATGAACGAAGTTGATCTTTATAAGATGTGAATTTATTGCACAGCAATAAGCATAGAGCGTTAATTATTTATTATTTGGCTGCTGAAATTTAACCATTCTTTCCGACGATGTAATTTCTTAGATTCTGTAGTAAATTCATTACGGACTATGATCCCAGATTCGAGAGCACGAAGGGTCGTTTATTGTAACCACTCCATGTGGGCTGAAGCTGAAACGCTCGTGACCATCGAATTCATCACGTAATTACCATAGGGGACAGCGGATCTATTACGTACAAATGTGGCCTGAATTTTCGATCATTTCAACCAATGCTGATATTTTAAGCCAAAAATTTGGATGAAGAGATATAATTCTTCGGCTTTTCTTTTTGTTGGTCGAGGCATAGTGAAACAATAGAGAATGCTACGTGTGAAATACCGCGCGTTTATTGGATAACGTATCATTACACACGGAAGCTACACACAATAGTTTTCTATTTTTCCTTAAGAAAATGTTACTTTTCAACTCAAAACTTTTTTAGTTGATTAAAAAATCTATTTATTTCGAGCTATAGATGATCTGCACCATATAGTAATAACCTTTATATATATCCAAATCTTGTGCCGATCAAGTCACAACGGCACGTTGGTGACATAAAATCTTCCTGAGCCTTAGTTTAAATGCTGTATTTATTCCTGTATTTGCGGCTAGAAAAACTGATATTGTAACAAGACATTTAAAGTTTCGTTTTAATCTGTCACATTTAGCACGCGTGTATTTTAGTCACTTTGCCTTATATGTTTGCTGGAAATAAGTGTTAAATAGAAGTCGTCGCAAAAAACGACAATCAAGTGTATGAACAGATATCTCCGAAATTCAATGCACAACCAGCCAATCAAAGTTTGCCATAGACGTTGAAAGAACTTGCAGTAGCACAAAAATTCATTGCCAAACAAAGATACGATTTATTAAGTCCAGTAAGCGCTACTTACTACGTTCACAATTATCTTACAGATTATACAAGCGATAACCCAAAAAGCGACAAATTTCAGCTATCGGGTAGAGTTATGCTCTCAGAAAAATAGAAAGAACGATGTTGAGAGATAAATTTATGTACAATATTACAAAGTAACTAGTTGATGGAGAGTGTTGCATATACAAGACGAAGGAAAAAGGGAAGGAAGGGGGAAAGGAGAGGGATAATATGAATATAAAATTTTTTACATCTTTTAAACAATATTAAAGTAGTAGATCGCCCTGGCGGGTAAGATAATGAGAAAGAAAGTAATCGTGTGAAAAATAAAAAGTTATGTGAAACAATATATCAATACCCATAATGAGATTATACTCATAAACTGCAAGACGAGTCGTCGTAAGTGTTTGAGCAATAGCGCTTAAGATAGAGATTGTAATAGCTCCGTATAAACCAAAAAGTGTCCTCCTTAATCACATCTCAAAAAAGAAAACAATAACTAATCTACTTCGAATTTTATGTGTCCTACTGATTCTATTATTAAGCTTTCCTATGTTCGTTATTCCGTTTACACGTTTACAATATAGTACATCTCCCAAAACCACCCCACCTCGAAACTGTATTTGCATTTCCGTTCGCATTTGCGTTCCCTCTTGCCCCAAGTCCGTTGGCCGCCGGCAATCTTATTCTAATAAAATCGTTCCTTACTCCAAACGGCCTTAGCAATCTTCTGGGGAGCCACGTTTGTGCAGTTGCATTCCTCCTACTATCCTCTTCCTCGTCGTCGGCATTGCTGGCCTGCCAAGAGTAATAGCCTTTCACTTTGAGAACTACTCCGGCACCGCTCACTTTCCGTATTGCATCTTTAACAGCAGATACTGTTATATTCCTGCAGTCGAATATCTCCACTTGCACATTCCTATTTCGTTTACTTCCATCTCGGGTAAGAATAGTAGTCAAATTGCTTAGAATAGCATTAGTGAGTAGTTGACAGTGATCTAGGTCGATATGGGATAGATATGGACATGATCTGAAAAGGTCAATTACACCATCGTCTGTTATTTGTTCGCAATAGCTTAGACAACATATTTTGAGTTGAGGGAGGTTCGATGCGAAAGAATGTAATGTGCGGTCCGTGATGGAGAGAATATCTTCCAGATCAAGTGCTTCTATTTTCGTACATTTCTGAGATAAACGGATAAGGCCTTCTTCGGCTAGGGACGAGCAGCTGTGGAGTTGGAGGTGTGTCAATTGTGGACAATAATCAGAAAGTTCATCCAGCGCAACGTCGGTGAGATTGTGATTGTTTGATAGATTGAGGTGAGTCAACGGCGGTGGGTCGTGTTCAATAGATTGAGAATCACCACAAAGAAGGGCGGTAATGTGTGAGTCGGTTAAAGTAGGACATGCATCAAGTGACAGCACTCTCAGATTCTTTAACATTCCTATTTTTGCCAAGGCGGTCTCGTTCAGCTTGGGTAACCCATTAATCTTCAGATTGACCAGCTCTGTACATCCATCGACAAGAGTCTCTATTCCTCGTGAGTTTATGTATTGACACCAGCTGAGGTTTAATTTTTTGAGTTTGTGACAGTGCTTGCTCAGTATTTCGCAATGGGCGTTGATGATAAAGAGCAGACCAGACAGATCGAGTGTTTCCAAGTTACTCAGATTGCTGAGAATGTCTACTACTGAACTGCTATCGAGAGATCTGCAGCCTGAGAGATGGAGGGATTGGATATTTGGACAGAAGGCGGATATTTCGTAGACATTTAATGGTGTTAATTGGATGCAACCACTGAAGAAGAGTAAAAGTTATTAATATGATAGCATAAGCTTGCAATATAAGATAATATAATGGTACATAACACATTGTGTATAAAGAATACTCGTGTTTGCATAATAACTTGCTTACAGTTGTCAGTGCATAAGCATGTGTCAGTTCGTCTTTTCTTTTCTCAACAGCACTAAAAAACTTACCGAAGATTAAGCACCTTGAGAAAACTTCCAGCTGATACGGTCAATTTTACTAGTTGCTTTGCAGCAATGTCTTGATAAAACGGCCGGGCATCAACGATTGGCCATAATGATCCGTCGAAAGCTAAACGATACCACGATCGATTAACCTAGATAATAATAAATAGAAATCAGCTCATGCTACATGATATATAAGTTTTGCCCACGTTCTATGAAACATAGAGAATTGCGTATACCACGTGTTCTCCCGAACCCCATAATGCAATGCTCACCCTTGATATTCGAACAAGCTCGACATCGCTCAAATATTTGAAAATCCTTGTTTTCACTTCCAAGGGCAAAAGATCCAGATAACACTTTCCTAGCTCGTTTCCCTTTCTGTTATTCTCGCTGTTCCTTAGCTCCACTTCATCTACCAATTGAATGCCTGAATCCTTTCTCTCAGACGTAGATATTTGTCTATCATGAGCTATAGACATCTTTAACGTCGACAGCGGGAATATTGATCCGTTAGGACTGTGAGTTTGAAGGTGACTGTCCGGCAACTTCTATAATGAAGATTTTTTACTAAGTAATAAGCGAAAAAGGAAACAAGGGAATGTTTCCCGATAGTTATGTCAATAAAGAGTAATGTTAACTATGGCTAGGCTGGTTGTTATTATGCTTTTGATGTTAGAGCATGTGTTTCGCGAATGCGAACCAAAAGCTAGTAGGCCAGTGGATCAGTCGGGTACGACATAATATGGACTAGGTATGTTCAATGTCAGGCAACAGAAAGGACTAATTTGTTGGAATGCATATTCACCTCTGACGGTAGGGGTAGTGTTGTGGGTACTGCTGGGGGTATTGGGGGAAACGCGGCTTTCAGGTAGTGTTCTATTAACAGAGGATAATAAGACGTGTATTTGTGTTTATTGCCAAAGTAGAGTAAGGTGTATGATAGATAGATAAGAATATAAGTGATAGATACATCCAGGGGGCGGGAAAAGAGCGAGAATGTAGACGGTATTAAAGATAAGGGAATATTTAAGGGGGGAGGGGACTGTGTTTATTCATTATAATAATGGGTTAAGTTTATTAAGATTAGTATTGGTCGAATATGATCTGATTGATGTTGGATTTCAGATGATCGAATGTACTGTATAAAAAGAATTGGCTTTAAAAATAGACGGAACGGCAATCAAACTTTTATTGCCAAAATCCTTATCATGTGATTTTGAATGGATCAGTCAGGCGAGATGTGTGTGTGTGTGTGTGCGTGTGTGCTAATAAACAAATCACAATAAAGTAGACATATAAGACCTGGAATAAATAATAACTACTTACGCCTCCAACATGTTGTTATCAATACAAATACGGTCACTTTACCACTATGACTCATCATTGCTTGGGCGACGCCAAACTTAATTTTTGACACCTAAAATTATCCGCTAGTAAATAATCATGTGACGTTACAATAGGGAGATCTGCGTTGTACACAAATCCTATTACTAACTCTATTACGATGCTAATGCGGAAAGCGTATAATTAACCGGTAATGAAACTAACTCCTAGCCTTGAAACCCAATATTTTGACAATTGATGTCTGTTGAGCGTTTTCTGTCTCATGTAGTTAAGACAGAATGCGCCTCCTGTTACTCGTAGATAACACGATCATTTGTTAAGTAAGCTGTGCGAAAAGCTTAGTATTAGGCGAGTCGATTATGAAAATCGGTTTTGTTTCGACCGTCTTGATAGATTTTGCTTAATTGATTTGATTCTATGATTTGCGTTTGTTAGGTGCGCGTTCATTCTTAGAGTCGGTGGGTCAGTTAAACTCTTTTTTACTATTATAACGTATGAACATACAGTAAAGCTTTGTGAACATCGCATTGATGCGAAAAGAATTTATCTATCAATTTATAATAATCTATCGTTACACTGTTAAAGTACATTCCTTGCAGTTTATCGCAAGTAATACTAAATATGGCAGGAGATTATGTTACATTAACACGTCACCTGATGGATTTGAATGAAATCGGAAGAGGAATCAGTCACAAATCTGAAAAGTGAAATTACTGATAGCAGTCTTGGGCAACAATAATGGTCACGAGACAAAAACACCCCAATTTTTACATAAAATCCCGAAACAAGTTCTAACCGGCACGTGGTATGCTTGTACATGAATAAATAATCGTTCGGATTTAACTTTATTGGTTTATGTACCAAGATACTAATACTTTTATTAAACTAATCGATAATTTTGGCAAAGTCAACATTTAATAAGTCCACATCGATGATCTCATCTAGCATCATGCCGCATGTCTTTATATGGGTAGGAATAGCAACTTAAACTTGTTTCCTGCTTAATAAAGAAGTGCAAAAGCCGGGAATGACGTTCATACTTTTTTTGTGTCTTCATAATTCTTCACATTCCCATGCATTATTTTAATGAGGAAATAACAAAGGCTCTCGAAATGGCATTGTCTCATTCGGCCACTCTGTGTTACCTAAGTGCTGCTATGCTTTTTTTAGAGAGAAAAGTTAGTATCGTTGCAAATTTGAGAAAATACTTTCTCAACCCCTTTTTAGTTAGTTTTGTTTATTGCCGATCCTACCCAAATATTCAATGACTACCAATGACATTATATGAACATTCACGTTGCCTTTGACGACAAATCATATCGTATTCATCACACATGCCTTTTACTCCAGCGAGCACCCATTAGCATTCACGTTGGTGCTATCAACAAAGAATGCGAATCATCTCTCTCTGAGGCTAATAGTCCTCCCCCGATGGCGAGTTCATATTAAACTTTCATCCAGTCAGTCACACAAACTATGCGATGCGAAAAGGCAAGGTTGATGAGGTCAAATGTATATGGCATATAAATATGTTGTAAACTCTTGATTCGCCTATTATTATACAAAGTACATACAAACCGAGTCAAAATAAATTTTCTGATTACATGAAAATATACATCATGGAAACAAATCAATTGTAATCTCAAATATAACATTTTAAAATACGCTTTAAAACCCTCCTTACAACCAACGTTTGATCTCTTATCTCAGGAATTACTTTCAAATTGTCATTAAATAGAATGTTATTCTCATTATTGTAATTGGCACTTATTTCTGCGTTTACAGCTAGAATCGCTTTTGCTGTAAAACCTACATAATCTTGATTAGTTAACATTTGCAATAGATGACGTTGTCGAACTTGTTGACACCAAGATGGTAATGTTGCAGTACTTTAATTATTACCAATGCTCTAATCATATTCACAGTGCAACGCCATCTAATACGCATGTAAACTGTTGCCTAAAACTTCGTTAGTACAAGTGCGCACTTAACGTTCATATCCAATACGTCTTTGAACGGGTTCCCGCAAATTCAATTTAATGATCTGTCGTGATTAATCTGAGAAGTTCTATAACCGATATGTTCCTGACAGATTCTCTGCCGCATATTACATGTGAACAAGGTCTACCATGAGTAAGGACTTGTAATGTCACACAATGCTAAACCTCTTAATTATCAACCGATATATTATTTAGTATCGCCGCAGTTTGTGATTACGTGACGATTTTAAGGTGCAACCAAACATCTCATAAATCAGACCCCCGCATGCGATGAAGGTAAGTTCTTATTCACGAGAGTTTGCGTATATTAATATGTGACGGACGGAAATCGTAGCTGTGTGGTTAAACATGCGAATTTCTAATAAAAAACCAATACAATTCGAAATCAACATTGAGAAAATAGATTTAAATTGACATTTAAATTAAAATAAGCATGAAAAATCATTTTAATATTAAGTAAAATATTAAATTCAAGTCTCTAATCACACTTGCATTGTCATCATTAGCCATATCTGTCATACACATTACTTAAATACCTTATTACTTTATAGTCACGCATGCCATTGGTTTTCGTTAAATCAGTGACCATAGAAAAGTGTGATGTGACTACATGGGAGGATGCTTCATAGTCACAGTATATACAATATAGTGAAATCAGTTGGTTTGCCTATCCGCACGAGGACAACAAAAGGGGGAAAAGTCAATCATGCCACTTTTATAACCGTAATTTTTGTATTACTTGACCTTAAAAGGTATTATATCACCAGATAAATTTTCTAGAACTATTTATATGCTATCTTAGAGATACAGAAACTGGGAGTGGATAGTTGTCAAGTGGTATTACGTGTTTGTGCGCCTTCATGCTTGAAGATTTTCCTGTGCGGAATCAAAATCAAACATGCTTATAGAAAAATCTTTTGTTCTTGGCCCATCCATCACAATGACTGCTGTCCTCACAGCATTACGTCCAGTCTCTGAAAAATTTTGTGTTACAGCCAAATTTAGAGCGACGCGTTTCAACGTTATTTATAGATAGTCGATTATCAATTTTAGCTTAATATCTTCACATAATTCTATTGGTCTATTTAGTAACAATCACTCGAATGTTTATATTTTGATTCCTGAGATAACGTCAAACCAAATTATACCGTTGTTTCAAAGCGAGTATTCATATTCGTATGCGCGTCTTTATTCTGTTCCAATCTTTGTTTGATCAATCGAATCAGTATTCAATGCTTATTCTTGCATGATGCTGACTAAATTTATACATTTATTAGTGCTCGTTAAGATTACAAACGGTAAAATTGAATTCAGATATTGTCGAATAATCTTTATTTGACAGTACAACGAGAAAATAAAAAGATAAGATAATAATATTAATTAATTAATAGCAATGTCGGGTTTATCAATTTGTTTAGTTTAAAAATAATAGCATTGCTAATTTTCTTAATTGCGATTCAAAACAGTGACTAAAAAGTATTAATAACAAGTAATACACAGTCGACAAGCTGACACTTTTTGAAAACATTGAACTACCGAGGCAAAATTGACTATTCAATATTTCATATGTTAACATTCTCCCAATCTTTGTCTATCAACATGTTGACGAAGTTTACATTGAACTACTGCTGTTGAAGTTGCCAAAAAATTGCCTGGTACATTATCAGTAAAGTAAGATATATTTCTAGTTAAAGACAAGACTAATATAAAAACGCATGTTTTTACAAAATAAACATTGATTGGCCATGTTAGCAATATCAATAATGTTTGCAAAAAGTTTGGGGCATAAAACCAAGTTGCATAAAAAATAAGGCGTGTTGTCGTCGTCAACTTATAAACCCCACAGTCCAAAATTGCGAAAATCTGCATTGAGGCCAACAAGATTCCAAACAAAACAATAAATATCAAATTAACTGAACCAAGCATGCCATTATGTACCATGTAATAGATCCAAGAGCCAGGGGTGATAGCTACAGGACAAAATGTCAAGAAGACTGCTATGCCAGCCCATATATACCAATCGTCAGGGAACAGTATATCACTAATTTGCCGCCATTTGATTAATGCAATCAGTGCGCAAACTACATGCAAAAACATGTTTATAACTGAAAATATTTTTATAGCCTGCAAACCAT